TATTGCAGTTCCTGTAGGATCTAGTCATGTCTGGGTTTATCTTCATTTATTTATGTCCTTAAAATGTCCTGTTCTGATTCTTGGAATTGTTGTCGCTTATTCTTACTTAAAGATATTTATAAACAATAAGGAAGGACAAGAAGTTATAGAAATTAAACTAGATAAAATTATATCTACACCAGCAGCTCAATGGCCTGACTTATCCAAGAACCGCTGAACGACACAAATCCAACAAAGCTGGGATATATAGGTAGAAATGAAAATTAGCATAGACAACATTACAACAATTCACAAATCATAACAAGAGTTTTATATTATGGAAATTTCCCAGAATGGCCACTTTCAACAAATAAGTAACGCGATGAAATATATATATATTAAATAGAGCAATCTATATTAAAGAATTCAGGTAATAAAAAGTCATAAATATATAAAATCTTTTTATTCAAATCAATATGTCTTTTTATGAGCTAAATATATATATTTTTCTTTAAAAGGTTCGTAAATCTGAGTTTAAAATATTTTATTCTCCCAATATTTGATGTAACCATACACCTTTTTAAATAAAAAAAAATGAAATCAATATTTCTCTATGTTTTCAAGTATATATCACATGTTAATAAATCAATATATTATTGTATTAAAATAAAAAAGACATATCCTGACTACAAGCAGATGAGCTTTTTAGATGTCAGAGCGGGACAAATTCAAATTCCTCGTTGTGTGCAATTATTTCCAGGCCTATACAAATCCAACGTGTAATTTGAATAAGATATGACGTGATAACTTGCAAGGAACAGCGACCTAAGATCATTTCGACTCAGTGACATTCAACCCGACAAAATGAGACCATTATACGAAACGTGGGGACATTAAGGAACAATGCAGGTGACATTTCAAGTCCAATATTTTATCGTCTGCTTGAAATTATGAATAGAGGAGGATGAAAAAGTGTGGCAGACGGTAAATTGTGGCCATATGCTGGGCACGTTCAGGGCACGTTCCTCTTTTTAGCAACGACCTTTCAGCGAACGGTTGAAATCTTTCTTCTCAGATAAAAAAAACCTTCTGTCACAGACCCCTCCCGTCATGCAGTTGATCATTAATACATTCTGCAATTGATATTTTTAGTAATGCGTTTCTCTTATGATAAATATTATAAAATAGTATATTATACTTAATGTGTGCAATGATAGAAATTATTAGATGAGATGGCTTGGCTCATTAATGGTGAAACCTGTCAACGGTTTCGCCAGAAAGTTATCAACAGCATTCAGTTATACAATCACACACAAGAAATGTTCTTTCAATTTATTTTACTATATCTCTCTGACCACTTTCTTATCAAATACATTTAATCTTTTTTAAAAGGTTGCCTCAAAATAAATGTCAAACCATTTCTGGTACCTTTCAGATTCAGGTTGGTAACAAAGCTACAACATCAGCTTTGGCAAATTTAGAACCCTCACCTATACCATGCTTTCAAGCTATGGTCCTCGTCAGTACTCAGGGTGGGTTTTGATTCCATAAGATCTAGAAGGAATTAAAGGAATCATTCAAATTTTCCAAATTTTCTGTAGCTGAAATATAGCTTTGGCTAATAAAGAACGCCTACCTGTAGACCATAGTTTCGGGCTATGGTCTTCGTCAGTTCAGGACGTCTTTGATTCCATAAGATCTACAAAGAATGAAAAGAATCATTAGAATTTTTCATTGAAGTGTTTAGACGATAAAGACTAATTCTGTAGCTGAAATATAGCTTTGGCAAATTAAGAACGCCTACTTGTAGACGATAGTTTCAGGCTATGTCCTCGTTAGCTCTGGGTGGGTTTGATTCCATAAGATCTACAAAGAATTAAAAGAACCATTAGAATTTACCAAAGAATTGTTTATTCGGCAAAGACCAATTCTGTAGCTGAAATATAGCTTTGACAAATGTAGAACGCCTATCTGTAGACCATAGTTTCAGGCTATGTCCTCGTTAGCTCTGGGTGGGTTTGATTCCATAAGATCTACAAAGAATTGAAAGAACCATTAGAATTTACCAAAGAATTGTTTATTCGGTAAAGGCCAATTCTGTAGCTGAAATATAGCTTTGACAAATTTAGAACGCCTACCTGTAGACCATAGTTTCAGGCTATGGCCCTCGTCAGCTCAGGATAGGTATGATTCCATAAGATCTACAAGGAATTAAAGGAATCATTAGAATTTTACATAGAAGTGTTTAGATGGTAAGGACCAATTCTGTGGCTGAAATATAGCTTTGGCAAATTAAGGACGCCTACCTACAAAACATGATTTCAGGCTATGGTCTTCGTCAGCTAAGGATGGGTTTACTTTCATAAGATCTACAAATAATTCAAGAAAATATTAGAATTTTCCATAGAAATGTTTAGATGGTAAAGACCAATTCTGTGGCTGAATAATAGATCTTGCATCAGAAAGTTATTTTTTTTATCTAAAAAAAAGATACATATATTTACATATATGCATATTTACATATTTACAATATTTACATCTATTTATGCTGTTGAAGATAGGAAGCAATCTCCATATTATTAACTATAAACATTAAAGCATGTATATTGGAATTTGAATATTTATTTTTCCAATATTTCGAGGGGTATTCGTATCTCTTTATTGAGGATGTTTGTAGGTGCTTCGCAATCGCTTTGTAAAACCAACGTAGAAATTATCTCTGATTTAAATATTATATATACCAATAGAGTATATATATATATATATATATATGCAACTTAATTATATTTAATTTTACTACAAAATACACTAATGTACAAAACTTTAGGAAGTTGTACCTTCAACAATAACTATGAAAGATAATTTGATACACAGTGACCTTTATTGAAGACACGCGAGATAACAAAATGTGAACAAAAATTCTTCTGTATCCTTAAAGAAAAAAAATAAATAAAACTAAAACATTTTAAACATTTTGAAACTAAAAAAAAAAAATATTTTCAGCAAGAGAATATTTAACAATAAAAGCTATAAAACGTATGTGAATATTTCAGAAATACAGAGTTATGCTGTATATTTTTATTGATTAAATAGATAATAAAATAAAGTTATAAAATTATTTCTTCGCCACAATATGTTATTTCTCAACATTTCTACACAACGTTGCCGATCGGGGTCGGTGGAAGGATGATTTAAACCGTTGGTTTTCTACCGCTACGACCCGGGATCGAATCCCGCATTGGATATTTTTTTTAATTAAAAAAAAATGCTCCAGTTGCCCCCGATTCTTGCAAAAGTCCAACCCTTCCAGCGAGTACAAGTATCAAAACGGGGCTATGGCATATTTGTAAGTGCAAAGCCGAACTGCTTTTCATATATGTAGACATGTAGTGCACTTACAGTAAAAGCAGTCGCTAACTAACCAACATGATTATCATGGTCTGTACCGCGTGTACTAGGAATAATAAAAAAGAATCTACCCTAATACACTGAGCAGGCTACAAAAATGCTATCTGTTGTGAAGAACAAAAGAATACATTTCAAACCTCCCATGGGGTCGGAATATCGACAAGTACTGAGATTGTAAACATCCCGTACAACACCTCGCCGGGACCACGCCCGGGGCTGTCCCCCGAGTATAGAGGGGGGAATCCCGGTAAAAAATTGGTTTTACCCAGAGGCGATCACTAGAGAAAAACTCAGTTGGGGATTGTAATTGTCTTCTAATAATTTAGCATCTCCATTGGTCTTTCAATTATTTTACCCCATTATCTCAATTTTATTCTATCCTTTTAAAAGATATTTATTAAATTATCATTTCTAAATAGATTATAAAATCTGTTTTTTTTTAAATATTTTAAACTCTTTTTTATATCAATTCTATTTATAAGTGTAAAATAAAGAATAAATTAGTTGAAACGTTAATATACATTTTTAAAGAATCGTATTGAAGCACGCAGGGTTTGATGTGAAAGATGGTAACCTTTATATAGCATTATCTATCCGGTCATCTATTCACCCATAGTTTAGTCAATAGAGATAATATTTTTATCGTGTAACTGAATGTTGATGAGGACTGACTCCCATCAAGCGGGAAAAAATATCGTAGATTTCTTTTTATTTCCGGAATTTTTCCATTATCCATTATTGATTAATTAAAAAGGACCAACTATATTCGATCTTCGAGTTGTCGCTTGTTAGCGTGATGCAGGCTATAGAGACTCAAAAATATCTTGTTTGTGTTTGTGTGTTCAATATATCGGTTAGTAAAACGACATTTGAAAAGTATCCCGCATGTGTTTCTTTTTAACGAAAAATCATTTTATTTTAAGGAGAAATAACGAGTATTTCTAACCTTAGGGATGAAGTATGAAAGGATGAATTGTGAAGAGTAATGATAAACGGAAAAATAAAAGTGTCCGGGGTGGGAATCGAACCCACAGTGTTCCGCTTACCGGGCAGTGTCTGAGATAATTTAATATATTACTGTTTATATGGGGTATATTTCCGATAAATGGAAGTTATTTAATAACAACATTCATACTTCCTTAAATAACAGGCATTCTTCGGTCTCGCACAGATAAGTTTTTATTTTCAAAAACAATTCTGTTATATTCAAATAACAATAAATGCCAGCCAGACAACCTCTATCTTAAAAAAAAAAAAAAAAACAATCATTTATACGCTCAGGATATTTTTTCATTAATTCAACACTTCGAGTCATTTCTTCTCTACTTTCAGCTGTTTTCCTGCCTATATTTATATGTATATTGCCTTGGTTTGTGGAGCTCTATTGAAGAGGTACGGCAAATTCTTGAATGATTCATCTCAAATACGACGTCAAAGTCTAATAAACACAATATTATAACGTATAACGTATAACGACATTTGAAAACTATCCCGCATGTGTTTCCCTTGAACAAAAAATCTAAATTCATCCCAAGGAGAAATAATGACTATTTCTAACCTTTAGGGATAAAGTATGAAAGGATGAATTGTGAAGAGTAATGATAAACAGAAAAATAAAGTGTCCAGGGATGGGAATCGAACCCACAGTGTTCCGCTTACCGGGCATATGCCATGTCAACTAGGCTACTATTTACGAACGGAAAAATATGTCCAGGGTAGCCTAGTGGACATGGCATCTGCCCGGTAAGCGGAACACTGTGAGTTCGGTTCCCATCCCTGGACACTTTTATTTTTCCGATTAACTTTACTCTTCACAATTCATCCTTTCATACTTCATCTCTGAACTTTATAAATAGTCATTATTTCTCCTTTGGATGAATTTCGATTTTTCGTTCAAGGGAAAGATACAGGATAGTTTTAAAATGTCGTTCCACAATCATAAGCCGCATTATATTGTAATACAATATTATATGCCTCTGATGAGAGTTATAAGCCAGGATTCACACACACACAACACACACAAATGGTGCTTTTTTTTTCGATTTTCAGAAGCATTCAAAACGTCGAGGCTGAATATTCAATCAGTGTGACATTCAAAACCTGAAGATCCTGCCGTTTAATATACCTTTATGGACGAAATCTTAGAGTTTATCACAGTCGACATAGACTCATATAAATATTTTCATTAATAATTTCACTCATTAAACATATCAATATTAAGAAAAAAGGCATTTCCTGATCGGGCAACAGAAAGTTGGTGATGGCTTGCGCCATCTATCGGAATAAATATTAACTAATCTTTGATTTTTAATTATTCCAGAATTGGCCAAATACCGTTTCTTGATTAATCAAGAAAATCTAACTACGTACGCTTTTCATTGAATGAAAATCAACGATTAGTTGATATTTATTCCGATAGATGGCGCAAGCCATCAGTACTTTCAGTTGCACGATCAGGAAATGCCTTTTTTTTTCTTAATTTATTCACCTGATCCAAGTACAAATTCACTTTTGTACTATTTTTCACATTGGCGTTCTCACGCCCTTTCGTCCTAAATACCTGTTTCATGGTTTTTCAGGATGACCCAAAGACCAGCCTTTTTGGTCGTTGTGATACAGCTTGCACCACGCTGACGAGGGCCAAGAGCCCGAAACGCGTACGTGGTTAGCTTTTCTTGATTAATCAAGAAACGGTATTTGGTCAATTCTGGAATAACTAAAAATCAACGTTTAGTTGATATTTATTCCGATAAATTGCGCAAACAATCAGCAACTTTCAGTTGCACGATCAGGATATGCCTTTTTTCTTTATTTATCTACCTGGTCCAAGTACGAATTCACTTTTGTACTATTTTTCACATATCAACCATTTATTCAGCCATGCCGGCCCGGGCCCGTGCGCTAGCAGCGGCGATTCTTTTTCTTTGTAACCTAACCAAAATACAAACTTCATCTTTTAATGAGAACACGTTTTGGTTTATTCTAAAGGACAATGGAAACCTCTGAACAAAAACATCTACATCTCAAGTAGTGTAATAATATATATCAGGATTAAGACAATAACTCTGAAAGATATTTGATACACAGTGACCTTTATTGAAGACACACACGAGATAAACAAGTGTGAACAAAATTGCCTCTTTCACCTTGAAAAAAGCAGAAGACCATTAACAGCAAAGACCTTTCACTTCCTTAAGTTTTTTCCATGTGTGTATTACTACATCGAGTATCATATACTGAATGGGAAGGAATATGTAGGAACAAACTTAGTTTGGAGGGTGATTCAGCTTTTCAGGAACACTTTTGAAATATTTTCATTTTCAAACATTTCGCGGATAAATAGAAGCTAATTCCTGAATTTAAGAGATCATGAGCAATTCTACCGAAACAATAAAATATTGGAACCAATTATATTTATGACGCAAATGATATATAGGCATTTAATAGATAACTTTGTGAATAAACTTAATACAAGATTCTATATTTACAAAATGGTAAAAAATATATAAAAAAACAATGGTTGCCTGTAAAGTCGGTTTTACGGGCGAAGATTTTACGTGACAACGGTAGAATATTTATTGATATGAATATAATTAAATTGCACAATAGGAACAAGGAATTGAATGAAAATAAGAATTGCACAAATTTTAACTATAGAAATATATTTTGTTTACTAAAACATTGTACATGTAAACTTAAACTTAACTAATTCCTATTTGAGTGATTTTGTTGAGGATAGGACGATGATAGGAGAAATATGAAATGAAAGGAAGTGTTTCTGCTGTAATGTGTCTTGCGAAAGTCAAGTCGATAGTTGTTCCTTTTAACGTAGTTGACTTAGAAACGTTTGATACGCAATCAAGATTATACGTATTTTTCATGAATTTAAGAAACGAGTTGTCAGGCTTTACGTTTTTGTTAAAATCACCACACAGAAGAATCGGTATACTAGAATCAACTTGCACGAACGGTGGCACGTACTGGCTGTTGTGAATGTACGGACCGAGTCCTTGCCATAGTAACATTCCAATATCCTGCATACTAGCTCCTGGATGAATATATACAGCACCGAGTATAAACTTGAAGCTAGTATTAGCGGCGAAGCAAGTAACTTCAGTCATGCACATGTCACCCTTGGTTTTAATGACACGAGTTACGTCTGTAATCGCAACTTGGAACACTTCCGCCGTAGATGTCGATGATAATTTACGATAGATCGCCACTCCACCAGCCGCGTTGGTATTTGAAAATCAAAACACTTATTCAGATCGAAGGTTCAAATTTTTGCTAAATAAATTTGAAATTAAATAAAATTTGTAATTGTAAATGATGAAGTTGAAAATTAAAACATTTACTTAAATTAGATGTTAAAATTCTTGCTCAACACAGTTTAAATAAAGTTTTCTTATATCTGCCACTTTTTCTTAATATTTGTAATTTTAAAGAATCAATTCGAAAATCAAAACATTTATTCAGATCGAAGGTTCAAATTTTTGCTAAATAAATTTGAAACTATTTAAAATTTGTAAAATAATAATTAATTAATTAATTAATTTTAAACTAATAATTTACTTAACACTATCAACATTTATCAATAGTATGACATAACCTATAAACTCAGTTTCTCAACTTTTGTGTCAATCTAACAATTAATCACTCAATCATAGTTTACGATAATGAAATATCAGTGTACAATTATTTACCTTTATTGTTGTTGTTGTTGTAAATGACGAATCTAAGCACTCCACATTTTCACTACAGACACAGCTGACGATACTTTAACCACACGTGTGAACTTGTATTATGACGCTTTCTTGTTTTTCCAACGCCAAGAACGTTCGAGAAAGACAAAGACAGAGACAAGCATGCGCCGATTCAATGCGCCTAATTCTCTAGCGCTGCGCGCGCAGCACTCTCGTTCGATGACTCATCGTAACGTTACCGGGCGTTACACTTTTTTATAAGTGACTCCCAGCCGCAACCTAATTTAAGACGTTGTCACGTCAAAATTTCATAAATAGGAATATTAAAATTGCCTTTCAACGTTGAAAATTATATATATGATTTCTTATTACAATTTTCACATATATATATATTTTTGTAATTAATTGTTGGTTTGAGTTTGTTTAGAATCATTTTCGATTTGTTCTCCGGAAATACAACCCTATATATGTAAATATGAACAAAATATATTAAACGAAGCGTTATGTAAATAATTTCTATATTTTTTATTTGCGCCATCTGTCGAAATAAATATAAACTATTCGTTGATTTTTCAATTATTCCAGAATTGTCTAAATACCTATTCTTGATTAATAAAGAAAAGCTAAACAAGATTTAATTAAGAATGGGTATTTGGCCAATTCTGGAATAATTAGAATTCAACGAATAGTTGATTATTTATTCCGATAGATGGCGCAAGCCATCAGAAACTTTCATTTACACAATAAGGAGATGCCTTTCATTTAATTTATCAACCTGCTCCCAGTACAATTTCATATTTGTACTCTTTTTTCACATATATAAGTATTTAATTAAAAAGGCATATATTGGATCAAAATATCATTTATGTTCCCAATATTTCAGTTGGCTGAACGCTAAACTTTATCAAGGTATTACAACATATTAATGTGTGTCAACAACAAACTCAGCGCCACATAACGTCAATAGAATTAAGTTAATACAAAGCAATAAGGCGCCATCTATATACAACGAATGAAGACATTAAGATGCGATTGTTTATTTTCACAAATAAATCAAACTTATACTGTCATTAAATGTAAATCTACTGTCCTAAAAGCTTATGTCCATAGTTTGCTAAAATATAATTTCTAAGATCCCACGCTTCAGTGTAGCATATAAAGGCAGAATGATCCAATACAGTATTAGAGCTCTAAAGAAGCGGTCTGGTAGATTAAAAATTAGCGAAACCGCTGTGAGGGTTCACCACTGATGAGCCAAGCTCTCCCAATATTTTTTTTTCATCGCAGTAAGGACAGTAGAAGTTTGATTTATTTGTAAATGAAACTATTCGTGTATTAATGTTTTCATTCGTAGAATTAAGTTTAAAAATATTTTCGCCTATATTCAAGGGGGAGAAAATAATTTTGATATATATATATATTATGATTATTTATTTGTTTGTGTTTGTTGTTGAAAAGAGGTGCAGTCGTGAAAAAGTAACGATAATTATTTACCTTTCAAGTAGATTTTATTTTGAATTACTTGAAGTAAAATTACACATAAAATTATTTATCACTGCAATATAGAATTTATACAATGAATTCTATAATCGTGATTTTAATTTAAAAAGTTAGGGTTAACTATACATATTTACAACAATAATTAAAGTGGTAGGTTTTGAATCTATGGTCAAAAAATATATATCAGTCAATGAATGAAAATGAAATATATGTTTTTAAAAAATATAAAATATTTGCATTTTAGATTATATAATATTTATATAAATAAATATATGTATATTATGGACAAAATACATTTTGTAAAATAAGGGTGTGAATATTTTGAATATTAACAATAACACCTATTTTCTATTTACAGTATATATAAGTATAAAATAGATTTATAAAAATTACATATATATTCCCCTGTGAGAAGAATAACAACACATCACTGAAACGTCGATAATTAAATCGTCGAGAAATAAAGAATTTGTTAATATAGCTATTTTTT